AACAAATATTTATTACAACATATATATGTGACCCTGTGTTTTTGTCCAGTAGTGGAAGAAGTCAGTGCTCCGTGTCACAGTAAGAGTCCCACTGAACCAGATTTGCTGAAAGGTGAAAAACAACGGGACTCAACAGGAAAAAACACAGACTATCTCACAGCCAAGGCTCTCAAGGCAGAGCCAAAGGATGTGTACATCACCCCATACACAGACCTGAACAAACCTGGGCTTGGAGACTTACTAACTAGAACAGGCCAACTGCAGAACAGGAAACTGTCTTGTCACATTAAAGCTGAGCAGTGTACGTTCAGTGCTGATATTCGCACCTTGGATAACTTGTTTCATGTTCAGCGTGGCTCATCTTCAGGACCTTCTCGTGGTACTGTAAATATGAGAGATGCTATCAAAGAAATCTCCTATACCAAGACTACTGGCAGTCCTGATGTGAAACAGTATAGAATACAATCAGTGGATGAAGAGGACTTGGAAATGCATCCATCTTATAACCATGGCCTCTGGATCTCACCTGAGAAATACACAGAGAATGACCTTAATATTAGCATAATAGAAAATCAACACTTCTGTCCTTATTGTGGGTATACCACAAGTAACATTGCTAACTTAAACGTGCATCTTCAAAGCCATAATGCAGAGAAACTCTTCAGTAGCTCGCAGTTACAGATAACTTCACCTAGAGGAGATTTCCGGACTAAACTGCAACAGGACAAAAGGCAGAGTTCTGCTTATTCTCGCTACCATGGGAAGAAATTTCACGGTGGAGGGAATCTGGAGAGACATGTCAATGTTCACAGGGATGATGCTTTACACAGCTGCTCTGAGTGTGGGAAGACCTTCAACCGTGCTTACAATCTCAAAATCCACAAGCGTAGTCACACAGGAGAGAGACCTTATCTTTGCACCCATTGTAAGAAGGGTTTTGTTTCCCCCACCGATCTGAGGAGACACAAGCGTATTCACACTGGAGAGAAACCGTACGCCTGCATGCTGTGTGGTAGCAAATTCAGGCAGTCGTGGAGTTTGAAAATGCACCAGCGTATTCACACGCAAGAGAAACCCCACTGTTGCATTCAGTGTGGGAAGTGTTTTCGGTGCTCCGGGGATTTGAGTAAACACATGCGTGTCCACACTGGCGAGAAACCTTACATCTGTAAGTCATGTGGAAAGGGGTATTCTCAGTCCCAGAATCTAAAATCACACAGATGTTTTATCCAATTTCAAGGAGATGGTATATGTTAATGAATCTTACATGTCATGTGTTTAGATGTTCCTGATCCCTTGCACAATAGTATTGGCAGCACCACAAAGGAAAATGTGAAATCTGACACTATTCTTAAAATGAATTGACACTGTGCCTAACTTGTTAAAATGTGCAAAATGTGTGTTTATGGAAATTACTTGAATTGTGTAGGCTAGGACATGTTTTATAGTTTTCTTTTTCTCATGCTATATTACTTAACATATTGATGTAGATTTGTAACAGTTTAAATTCTGTTTCAGAAGTAGAACCTTATTATATGCTGACAAATACAACGACAATATAAAGACTCCATACTGCTTTTCAGTTAATGAAATGCATCATTTTACAGCAGCAACACTGATAAAAAAGAACATTGTAGAATACATTAAAATATTTGTCACGAATGAATACAGAATGTGTTGGTTGCAGGTGTTTGGCACACATGTATTGTCCTTATAAGGTGCGAAAGGTTTTCTGCTTGATGTCACTAATTTTAATTATGATCGTCTGCGAGTGACTGTCCTGTAATGAACTTAGATCTTGTGCTTCCATGTGCACTATGATTATGCTGCGGGTGCGTGGTTCTTGAAAATTGATGCAACAGCAACATCGCCGATATTGTAAGGTTTAAGAATATTACAAAAACACGTTTCTGACTTGACTCAATTTTTATACTTGCTACATACTGATTTTCTAAGTATCGCCACATGTACTCTTTAGTAAACGCGTATGTTTTAAACCGTTTTCTGCACGTTCAGGGCGTACGCAGGCCGCCTCTCCGCACGGAGCATGCGCGGCCCGCCCAGCCTATCAGCCTCCCTGATTTGTGACTTTTATGTGAGCGGCGTATTATGGGTAAATTATAACCGGAATACACCCACATAAGAGCTCGAGTCATTCCATGTTCAGCAAGGTGCACTTGGAAGGGACCAAGGCACGTTTCCCCAGTTTTAGCGTGTCTCACCATATATAGTTTCATTCTGTAGCTGTATATCTGCAATCAGAAGATCACGATGCCTATGTTTGTTGTGAACACCAATGTGGCGAAGGATGCTGTGCCAGCCGCCTTCTTGTCCGAGGCCACGCAGGAGCTGGCCAAAGCCATGGGGAAACCTGTGCAGGTTGGTTAGCCTCGTAAGTTTAGCTGGACAGGTAGTGCATTTCCTGAATGTAATGTAAGGGATCGCATTGATGAATAAAAAGACTTCTAAATCGCACTCTGGACCCGAGCAGAAACCGACCTTGAGTACGTAGATCACAGTTACTTAAAAACGCCAATAGTTAAAATATTGCCTTTATCTCTAGAGATGGTAGGATATTTGACTAGTCCCTGTCCCAGAGACCACAGTAGCGTAACATCTATGACTATTGCATACTCCTCTGTCTCTTAAGTATAGATGCATGTAGGTGACGGAGAGAGAATTAGATTTAATGGGATCCCACTGTGGGTTAAAGTGTGACTTGGAGCAGACATTGGGAGAAATGAACTTGGGACTTGAGAGGTCGGTGATGCGTTGTGTCCTGATTTGGCCTTTGGTAAGAACTGGAAAGCATATTTTATTATGCTTTATTTTATTTTGTTTTTCTTTTTATTTTGTTATCCACTTTACAATGCCTGTGGGAGAAATTTCAAAGACATAACTGTGGAAAAACAACAGCATAGTTCTGCTTCTCAGTTTCATCATCTTACTTTAGCCTATTTAACTGCTGTCTCACATTCCTGGGACTTACACAACTCTACCAAATCGGATGATGCAGCCAATTTTGTGATGCAACATATTCTGTGTTCTGTATGCATGTTTTTTTTAATTGTTCAGTTGTTACATTTATTAAGGTTTTGGTTACCTTAATATACTGGACTATATTAAAAGTGTGAATACTCGTGTAGAATAGAGTGCTCATGTGCTATTTAGTTCATAGTATAATGATTGCAGAATTTTAATTAGCGTGAAATATGACATTTTGACCTACTTTGAACATTAAGAAATTTTAGCGTAATTATCGCAAAAGACGTGATATTATACCCAAGGCACAGCTTGTTGGTGGAGTGAGGGCTAATTTCCCCGTCATTTTAGGAGGCAGGTGTACCTGCCTGGCTGGGGTGTAACTTGTCTTGTGTTTGCCAGTACATCGCGGTGCACGTTAACCCCGACCAGATGATGATGTTTGGGGGGAAGCCGGACCCGTGCGCGCTCTGCTCCCTGAACAGCATTGGAAAGATTGGAGGATCACAGAACAAGCAGTACTCCAAACTGATATGTGGTCTGTTGAATAAGCACCTGGGAATCTCCCCCGACAGGTACACTTTGCCAAAATCTACAAAAACACATATTTACTTTGGTTGGGATTCTGACAGATTTACTTTAATTGGATACCATCATGTTCTATGTGTGCATGTTAAAAAAGCAAGCCGTTTGACTAATCTCATATAGTTTACTTTTAATCTTTTCACATTGATATCAAGCAATACAGAGTCTTGTAATTTTGTAACTGGTCTTATCATATAGTTTGCGTTAAGCCAGTTTTAAATGACACAGGTGATGTAATCACTCCTGGTGCACTGTCCCCTTCAGGATCTACGTGAACTTTGTGGACATGGATGCTGAGAATGTAGCCTGGAACAACACGACCTTTGGCTGAAGGTCAATGCTGCCTGTGAATAACAATTAACCTAAATATCCTGTTTAGAGTCCGAGACGTAATAAATTCACCATTTCTCCTTCCTGATTAAATCTGATGGCTACATTTACATATGGATCTATGTCAGTTTGCTTTTTAGGCTCTGTTAGAAAATGCTTAAACCAACATGCCATATGGTGACATGGAAAATAAAGTGAAAATCCCCTATTTTATTTGGAGTGCTGTTTTATTTTTGTGTAGCGCCTGGTTCGATAACATTTGTCGCATGGTTGGCTGTGTGCCCCTGACAAGAAAATTGTAAAATATAAAAATATTAACATAATGAGTAAGAGAGGTGGATCTGTATGCAGACGGTGGGAACATCAAACAAAGCCAGTAAAAGGCAGGCAGCCCCACCAGTTACAAAAAAGTTCTGTTGCTCAAGTATGTCTTTAAGTCAAATTTGTAGGTATGTCAGAAAAATAATACAGTATATAACTACACTCACCTAAAGGATTATTAGGAACACCTGTTCAATTTCTCATTAATGCAATTATCTAATCAACCAATCACATGGCAGTTGCTTCAATGCATTTAGGGGTGTGGTCCTGG